CAGTGCTCCTATCACACTTACAATCTCCTATTATAGGTGTGCAAAATGGCTTGTAACCATACATTTCAGTAAAGGTGCCCTATGTTAAAAGGTCCATATAGAGATGTCCCACTGCCTTCCTTGTCAGAGGCCTCGAATGTTCCACTGTGTTGAGGACTATGATAAACTCACATTTGCATGTGCTGAGACTGCTGACTGATCACATTACTAAGGAGCTGCTTTGTCTCTGATACTCCTTAGTCAGGCTCATTGGAACCTTCACTAATGGATCACGCCACACTAAGTGCTATCATTGCTGTGGCTGCAGTACCACAAAGGGCCACAGAAATTGAGAACACGTGTCACTGAGTCCAGGACCAGCAGCAACCTCTAGTGGCTGCTGAAAAGCCTCCAAATGGAGAATTTGAAGGGCACCTCAGGCTGCCAAGGTGGTAAAGGAGGCATGGTTGTTTATCCTTGAACCACTGCCTCTAGATACACAAGACAGTGCCACAAGCTGAACAAGGATGTCTTGGGACATTGCCACACATCTGTCTCATCTGTTGGAGCATTCCAGGTGCAATGCATTATAGACTGTATACATGCTCAGCTCCATATAATGCTGCTCACTTCTTTAATAAGAAAGAATTCCATTTGGTTAATGTCCAAGTTATTGTTGACCACTGCTACTATTTCCTAGATGTCTGTGTCATGTATCCTAAAAGTTGCCATGATGACTATACCTTTGAAAACTCCCAGGTTCTTACTTCATTTCAAGGGAATGGCTGCTGGGAATAAAAGGCAACTCTCTAAACATGACTGATGACTCTATTACATAATCCCCTGACTGAAGCCAAGTGTAGATACAATGCAGCACATTCTTCCACCAAGGAGATCACGGCATAGACAATAAGCCTTCACAAAATGAGGTTCCAATGCTTGAATGGGTCTAGGGGTGACCTTGCAGTGAACTACAGAATTCCCACATTATCTTTGAATACTGTGGTGTGGACACCTGAAGCAATGAGGGGATGTTATGGACACTGAAAATTTGGGAGAGTAGCAGCAGTTTACTGGGGAAAAGATGACACTGATTATTTAGAGTGCAGCAGCATTGGATGCAACAAGCCAGACAGGACATATCTGACACCACTTCTAATAGAACTGAGTGAGGTGAAATCATTCATTGACCATCAATTTGTTGATGCTGGAAAGGCATGCAGCCCCTGTTCATTCCCAAAGGCAAATGCAGCTATTTTCTTAGAAACAAAAGGTGGTGGAGAAACTCAGGTCTTCCAGCAGCACCAAAGAAAAGCAGAGTTAACATTTTGAGTCCAACAAATGTTTGGGAAAGAGTACTGTTCCATTGAGCCAGACTTCTAACATCATGTTGCCTCTGTAGTTTCATTCATATAGCTGCAGTTAAAAGTGACAGTCAGTAGACAGGTGATAATATCAACATATTTACAAATGTAATTTTATATTTATAATGAAGTATCAGCTGCACCACATATGTGCCGTCAATTTTTTTTTTTTAAAAACACTGTCCCCTTGTTTTCCCATTTTTGAAGATGTCCTAAGGGAACCTGCCCTATAACAGAACATGTTGACCTTGGAGGTTTGGGTGGACAGCCCCAGCCAGGGTATATGTGGCGAGAGGGCCCATATATGCTGCATCTAGGCTTATCCTCCTCAGCTTGAACTTGCATAGGATTTAGGGTTGCAGGCAGAGTGGTGGTGGAAGGGTTGGGCACCTCTTCAGTATCCTAAGTGTGTGTGTGGGTGTGGGTGGGTGGGTGGGGCAAGGGGAGGGGGAAGGAGAGGCCAAAATTTGGTTCCTCCCCTGCTGTGTGCCTTCTGGCACCACTCTGACCCCTTGTGAGGGAGAGGCACCTGGGTGAAGTCAAGGTCCCTTGTACCTCTGTCACCTTTTAATTAATGGCCACACCAATGGAGTACAAATCTGTGAGCCAATGAGCATCCTGCTAGACCTGGGTCTTCATGGATCCAGATATATGCATGCCAGAGCTGGCAGGGCAGATAGCATTGGTGGACTCCTCCAATTTTTGATCCAGGTTGCAACAAACCTGTCTGCTGATGTACTTTAACAGTTATGTGGCCAACATCACGTAGTTCTCACTTGCTTGGGGCTAAGCAGGTGTTTTGTCTCTGGCAGTTCAGAATGCCAGAAACCTGGGAGTTTCTTTCTTGGATAGCTGTGGAGGCATTTCAGTGATGTGTGCCACTGAGGTTACAGTATTTAAGTTGTTGGAGGGCACAGGAAACAGCCTTGATAGTGCTTTCATTGAAGGATCTGTAGCTTCTTCCTCAGCAGTGGAGGAGAAGATGGTGGATAGAAAAGCTGGTCCCTTCTGGGAGGATGATGTTTGGATGCCACTGGTACCTATAGAAGACAAATGAGGGAATAAGTTGCAAAATACCATTTAAAGCTTGAGCATGTTAAGAACATGCTCATGTGATGGCAATGGGAGAGCAATGCAGCACATCTAAATGAATCTTACTTGCTGTTGGAATCTCAGCATCCCCACAACCTGTCTCTATCCTCTCCCGCCAACTTAAAGATCTTTCGCCCATATGGGCGGGAAGACAATTGTTGACCACTCCACAAACATCTTAGCTCTTTCAACCTCCTGTGGGCCATTTTCTTTTGCAACGAGACAAAGGGAGGAGTTGAGTGAGTCAGCCAGGACTCTTAGTGTTGGTGTAGGTGGAGAAAAGGTAATGAGGTGTGTGTGTGCATGCATAGTGAGTGTAGAGGAAAGGAAGAGTTAGTAGTTTGGGGGAATAGGGGAGGTGACAGCCATCAAGGGAACATGTTGCATGGCAATAGTGAGAGCTGTAGACCATGAGCCTTAGACGATACGTACAATGGCAGAATTAGAGTGACTGCAAGATATTAGAGAGAAGGTGGTTGCATTTATACTTGCTGAGTGCAGAAGATCATCTAGTCCATTGACACCGCAACCACCAGTGCAGCAACTTCAGAGCGTGCTGGTGAAATCTGGTGCTGTGGTCTCCTCTGGTGATTCAGGGAATAAAAGGTCAGCTCTCTTCTCCACCACCTAGTCCAACAGGACCTCTTGGTCCCTGTAAGTGAACCAGGTTGCCAATTTCCCTCTGTCAAGCATTGCCTTTGGAATTTTATACACACACACACACACACACACACACACACACACACAGGCAATTCCTGGCTTACAGCATTTGAAGTGCTGCACAGCTGCATTTTAAATATGGCATCAGTAAGCACTTCCACCGCAGTTGAACACAAGACAGCATAAGAACGCTGTGTTACATTTATAATCAGGTGAGTAGCATAAATTTGCATGAGAAAACGCGCTTGGGCTTATGGAGGAAAAGCCTGTATAATACTCCCCGAAACTGACACAGCCAAACGTTAGGAAATTCAGTCCATTTAGTATAAATTTAGAGTAGAATAGTCACATAGTTGTAACCATCTTTGATGGTCTATGATATGGTATTCATGGTACAGCATATACATTCACTATTAAAATGTAAGTTAGAATTGATACATATAATAATTATTCATAATATATGAATTCTAGTCTCATATACAAGTCCTCACAAGTCCAGATACATTTTAACTGGTGACCTATAGATATACTCTGCCAAGATAATTTTGATGATTTGAAAACTTCTGGCAGAAAAGATACTATGTTACAGAACTCAGTTTTCCGCTGGTAAAGCTGACTAAGTTTGTTTTATTTATTTTCATTGTTCTTTAAGGCTAGACTGGGTAGATTTACATTGTGGGGGATGGTATAAATAGAATCTCATACAGCCATACAACATTGAAACAGGCCCAACTTGCCCATGCTGACCTGGTTTCCTAAACTGAAACTGTCCCATTTGCATTTAGCCCATATCCCTCTAAATGTTTCCTATCCATGTACCTGTTCAAATGTCTTTTAAATATTGTAATTGTATCTGAATCAACCATTCCATATACACATCATCATCTTCTGTGTGAAAACAGCGTCTCTTAGGTCTCCTAAATCTTTCTCCTCTCACTTTAAACCTAGGCAATCTAGTTTTGAACTCCCATTCCCTGGGGACTTTTGCTATTTACCTTATCTATGCCTTTCATTATTTTATAGACAGAGAGCGAGAGAGCGAGAGATAGGTAGATACGGACAGAGAAAATGAAAGGTAAAGTTAAAGATACAGGCAAAAAGTTTCCACTTTTGGCACAATCAGCAATCAAAATTTTGAGTTCTCGCTTTCTTCCATCTCCCCACAGAAAAAAAAATTCTGATCATGTTAATTCACACATTTCCAAAGTTTGGCATGGTCCAGCTTTAAACATAAAATGTTAAAAATTGTATGAAAGTACTTCTTGATATTTGTAGGAATGGTACCTAGGCACAGTTTCTTGATGAAATCTATCATTCTGATGGATAAGCATTCAGTCAGACCAAATGTTCATTGCCTAGTTGTTTGTTGTCTCAAATGCAACTTTAAACCAAATGAACCGAGGTGTAGGTGAATTCCATCAACATTTTGCAAATTGTCTCTAGTTTAGCTAATTTCTAGCAAATTGCTATGAAAAATAACAGCACAACCTGGTGGAAATTCTTGTTCAGAGTCATTACACATGATCTATATATTGAACACTATATTAAAACAAAATAGCATCAATAATAGCATTTAGATATCTGCACTATAAGAAACGGAACCAGTAAACTATAAAATTAAAATTAAAATAAACCATCGAGTTTAATACTGTCCAGGCCTATTATTGTGATAGAAAAATGACATGTTCACTAAATGGATGCATGTTTATTCTCTTTTTGGAAACCAAAAAATCCTTGATTAATTGTTGAACTGGTCCAAACAATGACTCAAATTACTATTCCTTGAAGACATAAACCATCTATTGTTCTAAAACTTAGCGTATAAATGAGAAACACTGATTCTTACTCCTGAATAAAACATCTGCATAAACAGATAGCCAAAATTAAAAATGAAAACACTAAGAGCAGGTTTCAAACATATTTAATATGCAGTTTTCATTTTTTAAAATATAAATTAAAAGGAAAAACAGAACATCTGACACCTGGAAATTTAATGTAACCATTTAAAATAAACCCAATTACACACAAAAAAATTAGGCTAATGCAAAAATTCCCATTGCGAAGCATTCTAGGATTTACATACCAGTTGAAAAAACGACTTAGGGTATTGTTAAAAATAATTGTTCCAGGAAAGAAACAAAATATCCTGGTGAATTACATTAGAAATGTCAGTCTAATACACTTTGAACAAAAGTAAGGCAAAAAAATTTTATTTCATTATTGTGTACATTTTATCTGGGTCCTATTTTGTAAGTCAAGTGTTGCTTTGCCATTATTTGTTCCCATTCTTCCTGAATATTACTTTTCAATGTAATCGATACAGGGCAAACTGCAATTATTATACTGAACTGCAAAATGAATACTATTACTCCTAACGCAGGATACAAAATTCTACAGACATGGTTAAAGTATACAGGTCATTTTAGATGTGCCAAGAAAGACTACCATTTGTTCTCAAATCTGGTCAACTTTATCTAATGACTACACATAATCATAGCTGCAAATAACCATGCCATTAAAACAAATGCAACACACACACACACACACACACACGCACACGCACACACGCAAACTTTTAACCACTGATATGTACATTTTGTTTATACCAGAAAAGGTTTGTTTTCTGGTGCATATAACCGGAAATATAACTTGCCCCACCTCCCTTTTTCTAAAACAAAAAAGATTTTAAAAAAAGTTCGAAAAGTCAGAAAAGAAGGTTGAGACATAATAAAAAGGCACATTTGGCAGCTACTAAAATTGGCATGCGTCGGCACAAACAGTATAGGGCGCATCACTACACATTCAACCACAATTTAAATGACTTCATTTATAAAGTAGGAGGTTCCCAACCAAATCAGAGTGAATCTTAGTTTACTTTGCATTAAAGCCCACCAGCTTTGTTGCTGTGACTTGCTGCAATTTCTTCTCTAGGGAGGAAGCCTCATTCAGTCAGATATTCCTCAAGAGGACATGAAGAAATAATGAGTAAATGAAGATGAGGTATAAATCATCCATTATCTAGTTGAATGGTGGAAAAGGTTCGAGGAGCTGAATGGTCCAAACCTGTTCATGTTCCTTTATGATTTATATTATGAAAGTCAATGCACTTTTAAGGAGGCACGTAGTTGGACTTATTTTTAAAAAATAATAAATTACACTCTGTTTTCTTCTTCCTGCATTGTGATCAATACCAAGAAATATAAAATTCGACAGAAAATAAAGTCAGCAGTACAGAGAGAACATCTATTATTTCTGAACAGGGTCTGCTGAAACTGTATCAAATTTGAACTTGCAACTAACCAATATTTACCGCTGACATGTACAGAAAGTAATTCTCAGATTTAATTTGAAGTCTGTTAGATATACAGAGATACTACCTCATTAGTCAGCTGCAATATGTCAACAACTATGGATTCCAGCCATAGACAGCCAAGCTTGCATAAATAGGGAATATATTTTTCAAGTGCTTTCTTTCATTTGCTGAACCATATCTAATTGACATTTACAGTACAAACAAATGCACATTGGTAATGGTATTTTCCAACTGGTATGTAACCCTGCAAATTAAACTGACTGGTCTGCTAATTTTCACTGTCCACATATTTTTCAGTGAAGTCCTCCAAATTTAGCCTTCTGTGCACTCATTATCTTTCATAGTGGCATCATTATTAAACTTAAACAGCATGCTTATGACTTACATGTGGTTTAAGTGTTGCCGGGCTTAAAAGATCTAACAAACACTCAATAGGATCAAGAGAAAAGTAACAATTGGCAAAGAGATGACAAACGTTGACTCCATGACAACATACAAAGATTTCTCAATGACACTGCCATTTATGAACAAAAAACTTCCTAAATAATGTCCAAAACTACTGAGTTAATGGGCTTAAATATGATACTTTTATGATACAGCACTTTTTTAATATCATGCCAACAGAAATCAAGCAGCCTTAAGACTTGTTTAACTTGCTGATTATAATTGCATAAATCAGTTACCAAAGTCATTTTGTACTTTACACCATCCCTCCATGCTCCTTCCTGCATTTTCCAAATTTACAAGATCAATCAAAGCACCTGAAACTGAACTCTACTTGCTTATACAAAAGAAAAGCCAATTAAGCTTTTTTCCAGACTAACTATTGTAAAAATATCCATAACAGTTTATATTTGGCAGCCCTATCAATAGATAAACTGAAACAGTATAGCCACTGATATGTCAAAGTGCTTAAAATGGCTTGCTGAAATGATAGCATTTTAATATTGTTCGGTTGTCCCGTAGATGAAGTGTTTTGAGTAAAGCATGATAAATTACAACATGAAGTCTAATTAGATACAGTAGATTTAATAGTGCTTGTTGAATTTATTTATTCTAGTGGCAATAAAGTGATTTATTTTAAAATTAGCATGCATAAGTGTATTTGTTCAAATCACAAATGTAAGCTACTGGAATGAAAATTTGTGGATAATTCAAATCATAACATCAGTACATTTTGAACCAGAGTTCAGGATTATGCCCTTATTTTCAATGTGTCAAAGGCTTGCAATCAAATTATGTACTACATCTACCATTTCTCATGTTTAGTTTTATTTTTAAAGCCTGCACCCCTATTTCCTAGCTCATGATCATGGTGGTTTTAATACTTTTGAAAAAATAAAAGCAGGGACTAGTGACACTCTGAGATAATGTGAATTAAAGACTTAAGCTTTTGCAGAGAAGTAATGCACAGTTGTAATCAAATTCAAATGCCAACATTAAGAACGGATCATTTTGACTAAATTATAAAGTGGCATGTTTTGAAAATGTTATAATAAAATATAGATAGGAGAACTAAAAATGGATACCTTTTTACGGTAAGAGCAGGATTCATGTGTGGAGCTGAAAAGCTATTTGTAAATCTTATTTCTGATGCTAAAAACTGTACTTTTGAATGGGGCTTGGAACAAGCAATTTAATATTAACAAAAATAACAACCTACACTGTTTAGTCTGACCTGTACATTGTCATCTGTGCATTCCAATGCTAACTGTTTTACACTGAGTAGTCTGACAAGTGCATGTTGCATCCCAATACTCTCATGCACTAGTTTCAGGCTTTCACACTGTTATGTTACTTTTGGAAATTTATACACCAAGAACAAACTTCATGATATTCTACTGTAATACTGCACTATTGGTATATACTCTACAAACTATCTCAATTTGTCTTAGAGTCAAATATCATCCAAATTCAAGAGTTATTTGTGAATTCAAGATTGCCTTCTTTCTCTTAAACAAGATACTGCAGAAAGCATTCAACAGGTCCACTTGCATTCAGCATTATGACTTAGTTCAACACTAATTGGCCTCTGTAAATTTGAGTTTGGTTTGTTCAGTGCTCAATGCATGAATCAATTAGCAAATAACATGTATAGGGAATTAACATGCACTATTCAGTTGTGCATCAAATCTTCTTTTCCTCAATATCCCTGTAACAATTTAGAATGGAATGAAGTTTGGGAACATAGAGTATAGGAATGTGGGGTCTTTTGAATAAATACTTCAGCTTTATCAGTATCAGTGAAATAAAACAAAACTAATGGATTATTTTGTAATAAACCCAAATCTCCACTTCAAGATTAGGCCATTTCATTGTATATTCTGCTTAAAAATACAGCTTTTGAATATATTCTGCAAGGAATTTCTGACATTGCAGTGATGTTATGACATGGGTTATCACGAGGCTTTAAAAAGTCAGTAAATGCACATTTAGGAGAACGTTGCAAGATCAAGAACTCATTGGAGATGTAAATGCAGACGTCACTAGTTTCCACATTTTGCTACACCCGGGTTAAATTCGCTTTGTTTTAAATGGTAATAAAATCAGATGAATGTTTTCTCCTTTGTCTAATGATGATGGGTGCTACATTCTCATTGAAGGATCTCTCTCGTAGGACTGGTTCTTGAATCAGTCTCCACAAAGAATGTGCCTCTTTGGTGTAGCAGGTACCCAAATTTCAACAAACAAAAAGTTTACAATTACTGTGCAGAGCAAATATTTGCTCATTAGTCTAGGTACCGAAAATGCTTTCCAGAAGTCCCCTTTTTGATACATTTAAAAGTATTTAAACAAGGCATGATCATGTGAAATATCGATCCTGTTTTTAAGATGGAGGTGCAAACCACATTTTCTGCTAACACTCCTCTTTTCAGCTGGTTGATGTTAGGTGTTCCAACCTTTATCATCAACACACGTTTATCATTGGTACAGCAAACTGACAACTGCATTTTCAATTACTGGCAAAGTCAACCCAGCTCAATTTGCTTCCCATTGTATAAATCCAAATTGATGGAAACTCTGGTTCGCGTCAGAAGCAATAGAAACTTACCAAGCCAGGCATTAAACATTTTAAAATTCTTACAGCACTGCCCAATGCTGCAACCTCAGCAGTGTCCAAGAACCTGTAGTGTTTAAGGAACATGTTTCAGAGCTAAGAGGGGTGGGCATTTTCCAGCAGTGGTAGTCCATCTCGGTGGAACGATGGATGCGTATGCTCCCTTTTGTAGGTTTTTGGTGGAAGTTTTGGAATTATTTGAGATGTAGAGCTCTGTCTTGGTGGAATGGGTGGTCCAGCAGCGGTACCAATATCAACATCTTGTGGTAAAGGGGGTGATGGCAAATGCCTGCGAGTCCCAAGAGGAGAAGGTGTCTGAGGAGGAGGTGGAGTAAAAGGCACTGGGGAATTGGGGAAAAAAGTATTAGGATGCTCAGCTTTTCTACCCAAGGGTGGAGGCTGCAGGGGCAAAGGCGAGCCTGGAAATACGTCTGGTGTTCGTACAGGCTCACGAGGTGGCAGGCTGGGAGGACTATCAGGAGGTTCTGATATCGACGACCTCTCTGACAACGGGTACCGAGGTGAGTAAACCTTGCCTGTGGGTTGACGGGGTGGAATAGCAGGTGGACTGTCCAGATGTTTTGACTTGATCTGAAACAGATAAAACACCTCTGTTAAAACTATCCAGCAACCAAACAACTTTGAGAATCATTATTTCCAAAGTACTAATTCTTCGGCAGAATGGTTGACATGGATGCTTGAATTTTAGTAACGGATATACAGTAATGTTAAGGGCTAGGAGGATAATTCCAATAGGCAAGATACTGGAAAAGTTCTACTCTGACTCAAGCTTGCCCTTTTTCAATGACTGCAACCCACCAAGAGCATATCTTCCAGCATGGAACCCATATGGTTAAACTCATACTGAAGAGTAACAGCTGAACCTATATTGGTAGGAGAGTGTACCTACCAGAAATCAATATCTGAGTTCAAGAGCAATTTTTCTAAAATGAAAAATAATACTCAGCTAACTGGGAATCAGGAAATTTTAAAGTCACTCAGCCAAATGAAGGTGGGTCTCTCATTTAATGCGGCAGAGGTTCATAAGATTCTATATTAAAAAGAAAATTAGTGGTAACTATTGCAATGACCACAATGTAATTTGATCGTTTAATACTGAACAGTTTTATTTCATAAACGATTAGCATTTATGTGTTTTCACATCTCAAATAGTCTCATATACTGTGAATTACGTGAGATACACTGACTTTGACCTCATATCCAATTTAGGACACTGAAACATATTTTACATATAGAAAATATTACAAGAACTATTAGAGGTCAGGTGAGCTGGTAACCGCCATCCTTTGATAAACACAGTATTGACAAGGCTGGTCTAGTCAAGTTTTTATGTCAATTGTTGAACACAAAATGTTGACAATGGAATAAGTAAGACAGGGAAAATAGCTGAGTTATCCTGTGAGATGGCATTAGAAGAGACCTATGGTACAAATGGTATTGGCATTTGAGAGTCCAAGCTTGGATGTTGTCAAAATCCTCATGTAGTTGTTTCGTTATTTGATTAGTGGTGAATGGAGGGCAACATTGGAATCTCCAGTCCAATCCTGACCATATGGCTAATAAAGCAACTAAATATGGTCAGAACTCCTGGAGGACCTCTGAAAACAATAACTAGGTGTTTTGATGATTGGTCTATGATAACCACAACCATATCTGTTTTGCCTAATGGGCACAATTACAGTCACTAAAGGGCTTTCACTTCGACTGTTCCTGTTCCTTGTCATCAATCTAAATTTTGCTTGGTGCCATACTCAGTCGAAAGATGTCTCAATGTTGTAGCACACCTCTGGATCAATATCTGGAGACAAGGGGTCAATCTGGTAGAACTCAAACTGAATGGCAGGTTGAGAAGATGCTGCTTTACAGTAAAACTATAGGATTCCTGTCATTTTATTAGTGATTTCAAATGGCCAATGAAAAAAGTTTTTTTTTCTGGATAAGACATACTAAGCAACAAGTCACATTATGGGATAAATGATATTGTCATTACATTTCAGTTGGCTTACCTTGGATGGGGAAGATTCTGTTGGGGCAGATTCAGGTCGCCTACGTGGTGGAACAGGAGGAGGGATGTGAGCTTCATCAATGCCTCTATTGTAGCTCATTGAAGAAACTGATGCTGGCCCTACGATAAAGGATTCTTTAGTTATGCTAACAATAGTATGCAAAGGATTATTCATATTATACTAAGACTTTAAGGTGCAAATTAAGTTTATTAGCAAGTTCCAAAGCTGCCTTGAATTTTTACCATCAACTGAATAGTGCTGCATTCACATTCTAGTACATGCATTGAATTAGGGCAACCTGCATTTTGAACTGTGCTACAAAACTAGAAAGGGAAAAGCAGTAATAAACATGCAAATTGAAGGTTAACTTACAGTAATGACTGAAATCTCCAAAAAGTATTAAAAGCATTAGTAGAAGCTTTCTTTGAGTTCTAGGGCAAAGCTATTTAAGAACCTGCTCTAGCATGTTCTTATGAAAATATTACAGTTATTATATCCTAAAACCTAAATGCTAAACATATAATGGGAAACTAAAAATCCAACTTTCCAGAAAGGTTTACCAAATCTAAACTGCCTGAATAACAATGCTATTCATTTTACACTGTTTGAATATAAAAACTTGAGAAAATCTAGATGCATATGGAATTATCAGCATGAAGGAAAGCGAACATATTCAATGTTCTAGCATGCATGCTGTCATCCATGTTAAAACAAAGCTGTTTTTTAGCATAAAAGACAGTGCATGGTCAGCTTTAAAAAGCCATGCTGTGTATTAAATATGCAACATTAAAGCCCAATACTAACTTGCACCATGGGCCAGTGTAACTGGGGCAAATATGGTATCACTGCCTGTGGAAGAAAATAGAGAAAAACTAAGGATGGCACAAGCCAAGCAGATTTATCCGTTTTTACAATTTGCATATGTTAGCTATAAGCTTCTTGATGTTGTTAGCTATTTAAATTTTCTACTGATGGTATACCAACAATTCACAGACATTTGAATTTTAATCTGGGTACATCTTAGGACTAAAAGAAAATGAAAGTAATGCAAATATACCTTGGTAATGATGGTGGCAAATCAAAGCAATCAATAACAAACGGACTAACACAAAAATAGTCTATAATAACTAATATGTTAAATGGATTCTACAAATGATGATGGACATACCAATTGCCTTTCCTTTTGATTAGGTGACCACATACGTAAACTAATTTACAAAACACCCACAACTTTCTCCCAGACACCTGCATTAGCACAGCGTATGATCCAGAAAAACATGGGGGAAATGGTATAAAGTGTTTTACAAATCAAATTCAAAACTATGCAATGTTCATTAAAGTTGAGCTCAAGTAAAATAAGCTTTTACTTCATTTGTAGTCATGATGCAGGTATACATCACTTTTCAACAGAATGAAAACATTTGTTGCCAAATGAAGTGACTACTTATGTTGACTTCCTTAAATTTTTAGCCAAGAAATGACAGTTCCAAGGTGAAATGTTTTCTGATTATTTCTGAGCAATAGTCTACTGAAAAGAATTTGAGCATTGTCACCCTAAAGTCCAAGCAACCATTTAACAAAGTACTTCTTTTTTCCAGCACAAGGCTGGGATGCAGGTGCTTGCAGTTCACAGCAGGAATCTCAGGGAAGAGCAGAAAAAGAAGCAAAGTTAATTTACTTCAGATAGTTAGATGACTTGTACAGCCAAGAATCTACGTCTGGTTGACCTGTTCACTTTTCGAAAAAAAAAGGATTTTGTACTTTACAAGCTCATCTGACTTGAAATTGAGTACATAGCAGTGGACATTAGATGCATATATATGTTAACGTCATCTTAAGTTTAGCTCTTTTGAGACAAGTCTGCAATCAGACAACTTTCATGGTATTAGAAATGATAATGGCAATTGCCCCGTGGACTGCAAGAAAGATGCTCTGATATTACACAATACTGGTGTATCTTTGGCACCTCCCAAAGGAGTGATTTAATGGTATAAATGAATGAAATATTACTTGGATGTGGATAAGGCCATGCTTTCTCCTTGATCATATGTCACAAATCTGCTTTTCAAAAAATATTGTCCCACAATCAGCTTGCACACCCTCTGGTTTTAAATGAATTCTAGTCTAATAAAAATGAGTCTTCAATACACCTTTTTTTTAACCTGCTAAAATACAATACTTCCCTTTGTGACTTACTGAAATAACTTGATTTGTATTCTTTCTAGCTCATTTCTGTAGCTGGATACAGCTCTACTTCCTAGTTCTTTTTCCCATTCAATCTAGCCAAATGTTCTACTCCAGAATGCTGATGTCAATCTTTACTGAGTTTTACGTGCATTTGAAAACAAAAGATTGCAAGCATACGCATCCTATTCCAACCATACTAGAGTTTCAACATGTAGGTCTTTGTATATTTACAAGTGAAACCCCAATTAATACCTACTATCTACTTCTTTAGAGTTTACTCAGAAGCAAAATAGAAAAAGATACAAGTGCATGGAAAAGGTTCACGTCATATGAACTATATCTCTCTTCATGACCATGACTCAAATAAAAGTGTACTTATAGAAAGTGAATTAAATCTCATAGCTACATCAATTACTAATTGATATACAATCAATGGCAAGTCTCTCTTTAATTATTAAAATTTCCTACTTATCAGTAAACTGGTTGGGACCACTTTATTTTTGCTTAATCTTCCCTTTTTTATACTGATCATGGTTATACTTTGATTAACAAAAACCAGAGAACTGCAGATGCTGGAAATCGACCAAAAACAGAGTTGCCAAGAAAACTCAACAGGTCTGGCAGCCTCTGTGCACAGAAAGCAATGTTGACATTTCAGGCCCAGTGACAGAAAGTGGTTCTGGAGGAATGTCACCGGACCTGTAACTTTAACTCTGCTTTCTCTCTATAGATGCTGCCAACCTGTTGAGTTTTTCCAGCAATTTCTATTTTTGTTATTCATATTTTGATGACATTTTCCCAATGGTTCCCAATTGTAGTGTGCATACCTGCCAAACTTCATCCCCACAACAAGTCATGTAACACTTCCTTCCTTGTTGAATTAGCAACATATTGAGTGAGAAATCTATTTCCAGCACTTCAAAATATTTCCTCTGCTTGTGTCAAGTAAAGTAAATCTTTTGGATACTTTAAATCTCTTAAAATGCTGACATTGTTTCTGATAAATGCATCATAAATTTGGCCTCAAATTTTATCCTCAATTTCAGTTTTACAGCAAGATTAGAACTATAAATATGCAAAAAGAAACATACAGACTTCAATGCCACATAAAACAGTCAAATTTGCATTTACTTCACAAATACAACCACTTTCAGTAAATTACTTTTGTTACCAAGCAGTTATCGAAATTAAATGACATACTTGAATAGAATGGACTAGCTGGATCGGAATCCCCGAACACACTACAGACATCTGTTGAGCTGGACGCAGCAGAAGCAGGTGGTGGCGTCAGAGGAGTACGTGGGGAATTTGGTGCTGACGCTATACTTTCGGTCTCATTCTCTGTTATTCGACTGTAACTGATTTTCCGTGGTTCCTGCTGTAGGGGTGTAGGATGCCCACGCAAGGTGCCTGACACTGGATGTCTGGGGTTAGATGGTCGGACACCAGGAGATTTCAGTGGGTAATTATATTTCTTTGCCTATAAAGATTTCAAAATGAAAGGTCAAGTAGAAGAAAGTCTTTAAGTCACATTCCCAGTGAAGAACTATGGTACAATGAAAGATGGCATTCCCTAAAGGGCAAGTATATAAGGTAAATTCTGAGTAATTTTGAAATATTCTAAAACTCCAGTAGTAAAACAGCAAAAAGTTAATATAAATTCCAAACAAGTCCTTTATAATAGTGTTTTATTAACTGTGAAAGGAACATTTAAACACATGCATAAAATTTTGAAAAATAGATCTATGAAGTAAAATCATTCATTAATGACACTGTTAGAATCAGTTTGCAATCTGTACTTCTTTAGAGTTTACTCAGAAGCAAAATAGAAAAAGATACAAGCGCATGGAAAAGGTTCACGTCATACGAACTATATCTCTCTTCATGACCATGACTCAAATAAAAGTGTACTTATAGAAAGTGAATTAAATCTCATAGCTACATCAATTACTAAAATGGAAAGTATTTACGTTTGGCTTTGTATTAATATTTGACTTGCACTAGCTAATACCTTCAAATTCTTAGGCAAGCTAAGCACTGAGCTAAATTTAAAAAAAAAAAAAAATCAGTAAATGAAGGAGGCTGGGGTTAGCAGAACTCTTCATAGCAACTAATCATAGTCCTCATGGATAAGAACATAAGAACTAGGAGCAGGAGTAGGCCGTCCGGCCCTTCGAGCCTGCTCCGCCATTCAATAAGATCATGGCTGATCTTTTCATGGACCAGATCCACTTACCCGCTTTCTCACCGTATCCCTTAATTCCTTTATTGTTCAAAAAAAATCTACCTTATCTTTAAAAACGTTTACTGAAGTAGCGTCAACTACTTCACTGGACAAGGAATTCCATAGATTAACAACCCTCTGGGTGAAGAAGTTCCTTCTCAATTCAATCCTAAATCTGCTCCCTCTAATCTTGAGGCTACGCCCTCTTGTCCTAGCTTCACCTGCCAGTGGAAACATCCTCTCTACTTCTATCTTATCTATTCCCTTCATAATTTTATATGTTTCTATAAGATCCCCCCTCAATCTTCTGAATTTCAATGAATATAATCCCAATCTACTCAGTATCTCCTCATAAGCCAACCCCCGCAACTCCGGAATCAACCTAGTGAACCTCCTTTGCGCCCCTAACTAAACAAGCTAACATTGAGCCATGAGTGCTCTTTTTTAATTTATAGCTGTATTTACATTGTTCAGTTAGATTTGCTTTTTAACATTTTAACAAGTGAAATCTTGAATATTTCAAATAAATTAAGATACCACCTTTTGCACACAAGCCATAAACAGACACTTTGACAAACCAACAGAACTTTTAATTTCATCTTCAACTGACTGGTATCCTGACAGCAAAATGTAAAACTACCAGTACTTTGAATCAAAACAGTAAATCTCCACTGCAGGTGAAGTTTTATACTTGTCTGAAAGAAGTTCAATCTCCGTTGATTTTCTCACCCACTCTACTGTATTCTTTCCCTGGAGGAGAATGGGTAATACTCAATTAGTTTGACTTTAGATTGCAAGCATTAGCATTCTCTGCTCATAGCCTGGTACTTTATGAAGGTACCAGGTCAACTATTCCTGAGACAGCCTCTCAACATGGCTGCAGAGATGCAAGTATTTTATTTGAGTCAATTTAGTAGGATAGGCAATCAGTGACAACTTGGCACATACAGATGCAGCAGCGACCACTAAATGTTGTTTACCAAAGTTAAAGCTTGCTCACGTCAATGCTACCTGTGCTTGGCACAAGTTATAGGAGAAGTATTTGTTGAAGTTATTCTTTAAGTAAGAGGTTCAAAATGATGATATCCCTAATGTCGTAGTGCTTTCTGCTCCACTGTCAGATGGTACAAAGGATTTTTTGTTCTGCTGAGTTTACAGCTTCAGATGAAAGTCGTTGTACAAGTGTAACCTGTAAAGCTGCAACAAGGCAGTATGTACCAGAATCAGTGCTGATGTTTCGGACTTAGGCAAACCTAAGCCTTTATTACATGAAAAATCAAGTGAAAAAGTGAATTTTGCATTCGTAGAGAATGCACTTTTAGCAGGTGTTGCATATCTAAAAATTGTACAGGAAAAATAGACAGTGTGCACTTTGTGCAGATGCACAGATCTGTGAACATGGAGTCCAGTGAATTCAAAGGACAAATGTGAAGTGAATAAATCATCAAGACAGCAATGAAAATGTAAAAGCCGAAACTTCAAAACCAAAAATACATGGCGTTTCCTCCAGTTTTAGAAAGAAAATAACTTGCAAAGCTTGAGGTTCTGAAATAATGTGCAGATCAATCGAGTAGTATAGCAATACGTAAGCCTGAAATAGACGCTATCTTGGTAGTTTACTCCCATATGGATAATAGCCTATAATTTGTCAAACATAAATGTAAGAGGAAAAAATTACTCATACTATTAATAAAAGATTAAAACAAGTACTTACAAATCGAGGTAACGATCTGGCATTACGAGGTTCTATTTCCAAAGACTTATTGAACAAGTAATCTGTAAATTCTTTCTCCAAAGTATTTCCCATTGGATTTAAATTTTCAAAAAACTTCTGTAAAATTAAACAATAACACTTGTTGGTAAAATAGAAATTTGTGTCTCGAACTGAGGAAGGGTCACCGGACCTGAAACGTTAACTCTGATTTTTTTTCTACACAGATGCTGCCAGACCTGCTGAGCTTTTCCAGCAACTTCTGTTTTTGTTATTAAAAATGGTATTTTATTTTGGTTCAATGCAGGCATTTTAAGGGCTGGAATGCAGGGGAAACAAATGCAGGATTGGTTAACAGTTGGAATAATGCAGACTTTTGCTTACAAAGTGAAATATCCAACAGGTAAGTACAAGCTCCTTAGCCTGAAAGATTCACCATTTTTTCTCTGGCTGCTACGACTGGAGTATCCAATCTCAGGTCAAAGACTTATCAAATCATCCCAAATTTTAATTGTGAGTCTCAAGTTTTTCTAGATAGTTGCAAGTTGTACATTTCACAATCACAACAAATTTACTTATGCTCAGTAAGTTGCGTGTTTAGCTGAACTATTAAATGAAGCACTGCAGAACGGTGAATAAAATGTTATTTTGGGAGGGGCAAAAAGAAACCGCAATTGTAAGAATTCAATTCTCTGCACTTAAATGCATCTCTTCTTGGAGTTGGAGATAGTAGGAACTGCAGATGCTGGAGAATCCGAGACAACAAGGTGTAGAGCTGGATGAACACAGCAGGCCAAGCAGCATCAGAGGAGCAGGAAGGCTGACGTTTTGGGCCTAGACCCTTCTTCAGAAGGTCCAGACCATCCCACCTTTCATGCTGGGGAATATATATGGTAGGGAACATGTTGCAATGGTTTAATATGTATAAGAGAGACCTCAAACATTTAATCAGTATGAATAATTTGGCAAACTTTTGAGGTACAACAATGCACCTGTGCATTTTTCTCTCTTGCCACCCTCGTTCTTCTAACTATAGTACCCACCTTAATGTCTTGCTCTACTCGTAAGCAATACGGTTGGTTCTGGTACTGCTGGATCTCTCCTGTTATTTCTGCCACTTTCCTTCTCTTACTGAAATTGATCAACTCTTTACCATGTCGTTTCAAGAAATCAGGGTTACCTTCCTCCGTCTTCAGAATGTTCGTCAAATATATTCCTGTCAGTTTATTTAAATACAAAATTAATTTGTTAATTTGAGGCTGAATGATCATGTTAGACTTAAACAACATTTGCAAACTACATAAAATTCTCAACTGTCCATAGAGTCAACATTTGCAATTTCCTCATTTTCATCAATATTCATCTGTGGGCATACTTTCAAATTAAAACCTGAATATTACACATCAGCCTCAAACGGAAACTACTCCCCCAGTTTGCCCTTGCTGGAGATGTGGACAAATTACTTTCATATGGTCTCTCTTGCTGTTACTGAAAAAAAACTATGCTTTTTCAAAACAAAAAAAACTTTTTATTTTTCCCTGTCGATAAAACTTCTTTGCACAAGATATTTTACTCCTTGGTTTCTCTACATCATTACACTGCCATAATTTACTTCCAGAACTCTCTTAAGCTGAATGAGTTACAAGTAGCCAAAAATAATTTTCACTTTTATCTTCCAGGGAAACAGTGCATCCACCTGGCACTTCCATGCAATAGTACAATTGATACTGCAAATTTGATAATGTAGGGAAAACAAAACTGTGTTTCCAACACTACTCTGCATTGTGACCATTCCTCAGGCAACTTTCCTATATCTTGTACCATCAAGATATTGCCAAAATCACACTTCAAAATAGGTTTAAAATTTCTTATTTCACATTTGCTCATTTTTAACAGAAAATTCAATATTCAGATCAAATGAAATACATTTAACATAAGAAAATTAGTAAATAATTAACTTTTCAAATGATCAATGTTTTGTCAATGCATAAGATACAGCCTGTTGATCCTATTTTGCCATCATGGGTATCATCTGTTAGTTGACATCCTGCCATCATTGTTCCAAATAAATATAAAGCATATCTATTCTATTAAAATGACTGGATTTGAAAAACAAACAGACAATTACAGCAAAAAATATCATTACAAATACATTTTTAATCATAAAATTTGACATCAAAGAGGAAACTTATTAAATCTAAATTCTTGCACCCTTTGTTATAATCTACTAAAAGCACGTGAGAACAATGTTTTTTGCAAATTATACATTACAATTGAAATGTCCAGCCTATCTATTCGGCAAGCAAAAATTAGTACAAGTTTGATTACCAATATATGGCCTCATTCCCATTTACCATTGAAAAAAATCTTCAACTGAACATATGGGTTAAGTTTCATCATTAAATCCATGTATTAGATAAGGAAAGGCCCAATAAGTTTGAACCTGCCTTAAATAATGTGCACTTTTTATGCACCATAGATTCCTCAAGTATTCAACTTCTGATGGAATAAACTGCAAATTCTACCTCCATACCCAGTTATAATCAATAGAAGAAACGCCTTTTGAACACATCTCCAGGGCTTCAGTCCTATCCCTTACCAGAAACATAAAAAGATCAAGTCCGAATGAAAAGTAATTGACAATATCTTAACGGTTTCTGCGCCAACCCAGGAGATCTCGAGTATTTCCTGCATGATGATTTTATTCCCATTTTTATTTTTGTTCTGTGTCTGAACTGGATAATTACCCAGATCCACAACCAAATCATATCTGAAGGCTCTAAAATTCCATATCCATTTGAACACAAGAACACAAAATACAAAGTAAGTGGAATATGACTTAGCTAATGATCAATACAAGACTGAAGTAATTAGCAAAGGCTTGCAGTCACATCCCATTTACAAAGAGGTTTCATAATTAATTGAATACTTTCTATAAATGGTCAATCCCACAATTTGAATCTTTTCCCCAGTTTTGGGATTTTATTCTTATTGTGTTTCATGTTTTACACTCTATTACTACACATTTGTGACTCCATCAAAATTAATAGATCTTTCCCCAGTCCATGAATTTAACTTGTTTCATATCCATTGTAATGTTTCAATGTTTCTTAAATTAAACACTACAATATGCAGTCTGGTTCCATCAGCATATTTCACATAACACTTAGCATCCATTCAGTCAGCAAGTAGAGTGAACAGTGGAACACTGATTAGACCTCTGGAAGACTCAACCAGTTCCTGCATTTTCCAAATTCTTCATCTTCAGTTCAATAACTCACTTGACTGGGTCAAGATACATGTGTTACTTTATTAAATTATGGCATCCTCCAACTTTGCCACCAACTTTCTGGCCTGCAACTAGTTGTCTGTACCTGATGCACATTCATTCCCACAAAAATACCTCCATCATTGTTCTCTCCAATTCTCTATTTTCAAAGCCCCTATACTCCACTTGCTTAGACCTGTCTCCAAACTAAGTTGACTCCATATCTTTGCCATTGTTACCCTACACCAGACTCCTACCCTATGATCCTGTAGCGATTTTCAATTTACTATTGTGTTCTTTTTTTAAAAACAGATCCTATTTTTACATAAAAGCAAAAAGAACTGCAGATGCTGTAAATCAGGACCAAAAGCAGAAGTTGCTGGAAAAGCTCAGCAGGTCTGGCAGCATCTGTGAAGAGAAAATCAGAGTTAACGTTTCAGGTCCAGTGACCCTCGCTGGACCAGAAACGTTAACTCTGATTTTCCCTTCACAGATGCTGACAGACTTGCTGAGCTTTTCCAGCAACTTCTGCTTTTGTTCCTATTTTTATGTAACTAACCTAAGTAACTTGAATCCATGCACATGCGCATTTTGGTCGCCCTCTCTGTATCCAATCTCACTACTTCTATTTCAAAGTTTTCAAAAAACATACTTCTCTTTAGACATCTTACACTACTCTCTTCAGTTCTCCCCTCTCAAATACAATGGCCTCTGACATGCCTACCTCAACACACTCAGTACTCCTTTCTATTCTGTAACTGTCCCAGGTTTGACTCTGTTAGATAAGCCTACCCAGCTGACTCTGTGCCTCTCTTGTAATCTCCTAAAGGGATCATCAGCGCATATGGCACTGGCGCATGATGAATACTCACCCTAATTACTCCATCCTGTTCTCACTTCCCACCCACAGCAATGCCTGTAGGCTAATCTCTCATTTCCCCATTGCACCCCCCAAAAGACTCGATGACTCTAGTCTCACCAGCCTTGCTTCCCCCATCCCCAGCTTGGCAACCATGCCTCTCCCCCAGTAGTCCACAGTACCAGCAAATGCAAGAGAAAACAAAGCATGATTGTATGAGCTACTCCTTAGAGCTCTGGAATTCTAACTTGATTCAATTTTCCAGGTTGTTTTCAGGGCAGATTTGTTTACTACTTGTGTACTTGCCACTTTTCTGAAATGTTTTCTTAAATTAAACACTGCTTTGAGCCCACTGCTGCACTTTGCCAATTGGTGGCATGCAGCCAGTGGGTCCAGGTCCCATTAGTGATATCCCTTTAGAGTTGCCACTCTTGCCTCAAGTGAAGGGATAGCATGTGACCCAAGTATTCAACACTATTCGTGAACTCACATTTGTTTCGAGGTTCGAGACCATTTTCTCCCCATGACCTCTCCAAGCTCATTGTATCAATGGGACTGAACTCTAGCTCCCTCAACCCATTTCCATTAAGCTATCAACCACCTGAATTCCGTTCCTGGTAGCTCTTGCAATATCTTCATTGTTCACTGAAAATTCAGTGGATTTTGTATTAGGTTCCAGTACATTTGCAGTTCTGTAATCACTTCCTCCATTCGAGGAGAGAAGAAGATAGATAGCAAGAAATTGTATCGGTCAGTTGTCCTAACATCAATCACGGGGAAACTGTTTGAATCTATTATTAAGGAGGTATTGGCAGTACATTTAGAAAATCATAGTACAATCAGGAAAAGTCAATATGGTTTTTGAAAGGAATACCATGCTTGATTAATTTACTAGAGTTTCATGAAATAACAAGCAGCGAGGATAATGGGGAACCAATAGATGTAATGTATGTAATGTAATGTAGTAGGATGTCCAAAAGGCATTTGGTTATGTGAAACATAAAAGATTACTGCACAAGCTTTAAGCTCATAGGTGCTGGGAGTGTTACATTGGCATGAATAGAGGAATGGTCACCAAACAGGATCGATGGATCAGTTTTACGTTGTTAAATGTCACAAGAATCAGTAATGAAACATCAACTATTTCTAACTTACATTAATCTAAGTAGTACCAAGTACATGCTGGCTAAATTGACCAATGACATAAAAATGGGAGAAAAGCAAGCTATGGGGAGGACACTGAGTCCACGAAGGGATGTGGGTAGAAATGTGGTATAACGTGGAAAAATGTGATCTTCTCCACTTTGGCTGGAAGAATAAAATATTATTTAAAT